GAGGTCAGGTTCATAGGGGGACGGGTCCTGCACTGACTCTGCAGGACAGAACAGAGGTCAGGTTCTAAGGGGACGGGTAGTCACCCACCTTGGCCACTAGAGGTGCCTCTGGTCCCGTCAGAAGAAAGAACGATTTCCTCAGATCGATAAACTTTCCTTCACAGACTTCTTCTACTGCTGCCTGGTCTAGGTCTCCTACAGAACCGAACACAGACCAGAACATCACACCATCTAGAACACACAGCCAGTGCAGACTGGTACATTCAGGGTCTCAGGCCACCATGACAAACTGGATCCTGGATTTAATATGTTCTTACCGACGTCCAGACAGAACTGAGCCTGGTTCTCTTCAGAGCATCCAATCAAAACCGACTCCTTCAGCAGGGTTCTGTCTGACCCGAGTCTCTCCAGGACCGACTGAACATCTGGAACATGCAACACACAAAATGCAGACGAATTTTATAGTTCTCTACCTGTGGTTCTCTGATTCTGAGGTTCTGTACCTGAGGTTCTGTCAGTGGTGGGCCATCAGGGCCTGCAAGGCCTTCTCTGCTGGCCTAAAAAGTATCTGAATCACAGACCGATTATAAATTATAAATATAAAATTATAAATATATAAATAATTAATAATTATATTTTGTCCATGAATACTTATATAATCCTCTAGGGTTAGGGTTAGCAGGCGTACGGTGACGTCAGCGTATTCACACCCTTTGATTGGATAGTCAGAGAATATACTAGCCAGAGCAAGCCAACTGCATCTGTAGCGAGCTAAACGAGCAAAAATATAGTTGTGTTGATTTAAAAGTTGTTTCTCCTTCAGCCACAATGGCTGAAATGAAATACATTTGTTTGCTGATATATTGTCACAGCCATTTTCAAGACGGACTTTTCAAGAAAAGCTGGACATCATTGAGAAAGGTCGGGCAACTCCAAAGCTAGCAAGCCTGTCACAACCGGGAAAAGGATTTGTCCGCCACTTTCAGTCCACTAAGTACGAGCAGGTACCCCTGGCTCACAGGCTCTGAGGAACACTGCAAACTGTATTGCTGGGAGTGCTTGTTATTTGCCACTGATCGACATGGTGTTTGGAGCCACACTGGGTTTGTAAATTTGACTTGCATAACCAAGGCAGCAACGAGACACCAAACCACTGCCGGACACTAACAAGCAACGGTGCTTTCCAAAACTTTTGGGGAAACCATAGTGGATCTACAGCTGAGCGAGCAAGTGCGCAGGGAAACGGAGCTCCACAACGAAAAGGTGAAGGTGAATAGGGAAATCCTAAAAAGACTGATAGACTGTAATTTTTTGGGGCAAGCAAGAACTTCCATTTCGGGGACACGATGAAAGCGCTGGATCCACAAACAGAGGAAACTATGTTAGGCTTCTTTCTCTCATTGCTGAGAGCAACATGGATCTACTTTACCACCTGTCCACTAATAAAGTGTTTAGTGGGACGTCGGGCAAAATACAAAGGACCTGATCACTGCTATTGCTGAAGTGATGGGAGAAGAGATCAGAAGGGAAGTTAATGAAGCATCGTTTGTCTCTGTTATGGTGGATGAGACGACAGACCCGAGTAACGCAGAGCAGCTCGCACTGGTCCTGCGTTACGTAACGGGCACAGGTGTAGAGAGGTTTGTCAGATTTGAAGATGTTACCAGTGGGAAGCGAGCTGATGACATTGCAGGTCTTATCATCTGATTTTTGGTGGAAAATGAATGTGTGGGTAAAGTTGTGGCACAGTGTTATGGTGGTGCAGCGGTCATTGTCTTCTGGATTAAATGGGGTGCAGGCTAAAATTAAGGAGAGATCACCCTTGGCTTTATTCATACACTGCTATGCACATCGGCTCAATTTAGTACTGACTCAGGGGGCCTCAAAGCTTCAAGGACAATTCCAGCGCAAAATGAACCTGGGGTTAATAACACATGTGTACCGAGTTGGTCCGTTTTCTGGGATATGTTTTCATGCTAATCGACCGTGACCGGTTTTAGCACTTACACAGTAGCATAATGAGGGCCCCTACCTGTAAACCGAAGCACTGAGAACTTTGTAAGTGTACAGACAGTTTATCAAAAAGATAGTTTAGAACAACAGTAGTTCTCGTATACAGGCGGGTGCTATCTTGGGAAAACAGTCAGGGGTTAGGTCATTCATGCAGATCAATGATAAAGACTTCCAGCTGGCGATGTGAACTAAGACAAACGTAATTTGCTCAATATATCAGAAATAATCACACCGATGTAAAACACACCTCGTCTAGTGTTCTTACTCAGTGGATACCTGTCCATCTGGTCCCTCCGGTATGAGTCGCTGCTTGCTTGAGTACAGCTGTGTTAATCAGAGAGGGGGAAATCTTCACACTGTACACAACACTGCGTCTCTTGGGTGTCGCGACGCAACAGGTCCCACTCCGTGCAACACAGGCACTCCTCTTCTGTGGCCATATAGCTTCACAATGTCCGCAGGTACACCACCAGTTTCCCGAAGTACG